GCGCAAAAGCACAGAGAGGAGAAATGGACTGACCAACTGTGGAGAGTTGCTCCTTGCTGCTATGTCCATGGAGACATAGCTGAAATTTTGAAATCAAGTAGAAGGCAGAGTAGATTTGCACCTTACAGTCTTATCAAAGTGTGAAGTGTGTGTGTGTGTGTGTGTGTGTGTGTGTGCACGCGTGTGCATGCGTGTGCGCATATATGTGTGTGCGTGCGTGCGTGCGTGCGTGTGTGTGTGTGTGTGTGTGTGTATATATATATATATATAGTATCCTATTCAATACTTTATATATACAATATATATATTGTATCATATTCAGGTTTGTCATAGAGCCATCCATCACCCTTGGAAACGTCTTCCACAGCCCAAAGGACTGGTAGGAACATTTCCTTGCTATCAGTGTACATTTTCTTTTGCTTAGTCCTATTTCCATTACTCAGATCACCCTTTAAAAAGAAAAAGAAACCTTCTCTCCTTCCTTGACACAAAATATAGGCACATCACAGCATTTGGAATTGGACAGAGATCATCTACTCATTCTTTTGCCCTAGAGAGCACAAGATCTACTCCCTGAACAAGAAGCCTTACTCCTGGATGCAGAGCAGTCTGCTTCCTATGCTCTGCTAGACCAGATACATGGGCTGCTAAGGGGTGCACTCTCCAGAAAGTGGGGACTCTCAGTGTTCCTGATTCTTGTGTACAACTTTCCCTCTCCACCGGTGGGAGTGTGAACACATTTTAGCAGGCAGGGACAGGCTCAAAAACTTAGAATCACTGGTTCAAATGAGTCTGAGCACCATTCAGGACCCTCCACATGCGCCAGGTTCAAAGTCCTCTCTGGTGGTTAAAGGGGCTAGGAGAGCATTAGAGTTTTTTTAGTAAGCAAATCTCCTAATCACCTACTAAAGCCACCTACATTCTGGCATCTAAGCACAGCACCTGGACTCAATCTAGCCTTGATCTCTATACCCCCAGCTTTACCTATCTGCTGTCCATTAATGCCTCAGGACAGAATACATCTCTTTTGTCCAAGACTTGCAAAACCATAATCACACAGAAGAGCCTGAGTCAAAGCCCGTTGAAATGGGAGCTGTTCCATTGATTTCAACAGGCATTAGAACAGGCCTATGGGCATTTACTGGGGATTGTATTTGTAAGGATTTACAGCATCTTTTTTCTTTGTTTTGTTTTTTGTTCACAGAAGATTAAAACTAGAAATGTATGGATTTTTTTCAACCAGAAGTTTTTGTCAAAAAAAATGCAGATTTATTAACATTGAGACATTTGCTACTTATGTCTCCTTTTTGTTGAACTGTTCATATTTACAAAAAAATAAAACTTACAAACAAAAAGAAAAAATGATATATTTTGTGTTGATATTTTTAGTTTTAATTTTATGTACATGTTTGTCTCAAAATATCCTATAATTTGATGTAAAAAATTAAAAAGGATCCCCACTGAATCTGAAAGGATGCATTTCATTTCCACTTAAACAAAATATTTTATCTGAACCAAAACTAATTTTATTGCAACTTTCTGATTTGGCATTTTTTCAAAATTAAAGTATAGATATCTGCATGGTTCACATGACTTTCACCCCTCCAAAAAGATAATACTTCCAGGAAAAGAACATTTGTAGCACTGTCAAAAACAGTGATTTCTAACACTATAGTCTGTAATGTGTAATCATTGCTAAAAATGTCATTTTCACAAATCATTCTTTGTCTCCCTGTACATTTATATGTACACACGTGTGCATATGCCTATGAGGAAGCATATTTATTTATTTATCTATTTGTTTGTGATACTTATATTTTCCAAAGAGGGCACTTCTGTACTACAATTTTGCCAATCCCAAACATTAAACAATACACCATTAAATTGACTTAAATATCAGGATAATTTTGTTTTTTTTAAAGTACATTTTGAGTTTTATTTGCTTTCCTGAAGCAAACTGTTCTCTGTAACAGAGGGCTAAAAACTTATTTTTTTCAAAGAGAAGTTGAGATTCTCAGCTATGTATTTTTGTAAGCTTTCAAATGTCATGATACTTGTGACGGAACAGCAAGGGTTGGCATCCCTGCTGATCTGCCTTTTTCTTCAGAATTCTTTGATACCTTCTAGGGAACCCTGAAAATGTGCTGTTTTATCTTCTCCTGAAGAAATCTGATGGGGTCTGGATGTTATTTTTTTCTCCACAGCTGACTATAGGTGCTGTTACTGAAAATACTACCACCGTCAGTGGCTAAACATATTGTTCCAATAGCAAACTGGTGGCTACGATTGACATTGGACTTAATGATCTCATGTTAGCCCTGCTTAAACCTTTGCTGTCTATTCCAGGAATGTGTGAAAAATCTGCTTCACAATGAAAGAAAAGGGCAATTTAAATGTAAAGTGCCTATTTTGTGAAATGCACTCTAACTTCCTCATGTAACCTGACCAGAGGAAAACTTTCAATCTTTTTATTAATACACTTCCAGATATGAGAAAAGTTTGGATGCCAAAAGAAGAAAATGTCTTCATAATTTGGCTCTAATGCAATCATTTTTCTATTAGATGAAAGGGTTCTAACTGGATTGGGATGGCCATTACTCCATACAGTAATTAAATTGGGACAAGACATTTAATCTTCAAAGTTAAAGATTCCTTGAGTAACTTTGATTTGGTATCATTGCAAAGGCCCCTGGAAATGCTGTGGTACCTGAGTTATTAATTAGTGGGAAAGAAAGAGACATGAGAATACCGTGCTTGCTGTTTACTTTATTGTGACTTTATTTCTATGAATTGAACTAAATAACCATAGTAAAGGGATCTAAAAGGGTGGACTGCGACAGAGGCCACTGTTATTACTACACAGTAGGCATGTCTATACATGCACTTAAATGCACATTAACTTATTTTAATGCACATTAAAGCATCACTAAAACACTGTGATATTTAGCTAGTGTGCATTAAAATAGGCTAATGCACATTAAGCATCACTTAAAAACCATGGGCACCTATATACAAGTGTGTTGGAGCAGAGTAGATTAGTAGAGTCTGCTGGAGCATGGCAATTGCTGTGCTCCAGCAGCCTCCTACGTTTCATGTATCAGCATCCCTGCACTTAAAAATGGTGGCAGGGGTGCTTTATCTAAAGTTCATCAAATGAGCTTTAGTTCATGTGCCCCCACCTTCATTTTTAAGTGTGGGGATGCTGGTACATGAGACGCAGCAGTGCTTTAATTAGAATGACTCTTGGAGCCACTCTAAATAAAGTGCTGCCCCCTCCCCACCTTCTCTGGAGCACGTGTAAAAGTGACCCATGCTCTTTAGTTAATGCACATTAAGACAGGCTAATGTGTATTTTCCTAGTATCTCACAATGGAGGAACTAGATTTAATTCATATAAACTAAAGTTCATTAATGCATGTGTAAACGCACCCCGTTTAATGGAACACTTATCACAGGTACTTAACAGAAGAGTATATATCAGACTGAACAGCAGCTCTTTTCTATTACATACCCTGGGCAGAGCTGACTGGACACATGAAGGTACAGGTGGCAAAAGGGGACACAATATTAAATATCCAAATAAAATTTGCACACCCCCACAAGCACCCCCCCAAAGAAACACAGGCAGGTATCCTTGGCTTCCAGTGTACCTTGGGCAGCATACCTGTCACCTATCCCTAGAGCTGTGTTTGCTGTGTTCAGTCTAGTTCAGGCTTACCTTCCAAGTTGAGAGAAGGAATCAAAATCTCAGTGTTTTAAGGTTTAAAAAGGCAACTATTCCAGTAAAGGAATTATGAGGTACTTGGGGACAAGTTCTGAAAAGCAAAGGAGCTAGATTTCACAAGGGACGTGTGAGGCTGAATGTGAATACCATTTTCCTCATAACGAGTTGAGGCCAGCAAGGTAACACCCGCCAGGATACTTCATCTTTATCTGGCAGGTTTTATCCTCAACACTGCTGTTTAAACAAAACTATCTCTGTCTGTGCATTCATCATCCATATGACACCTACTAATCTTGGATTTATTCAGCTATTTCTCTTTAATTTGCGAGGTGCCTGCTATTTTTATCCCTAAAATGTCTCATAAACAGCCCTTTATATTTTGTTGTACAAGTACTCAAAATCTATGCATTGTGCCAATCAGTCTAGATGAACAGATTTACAATTTCACTCTACTGAGTGCCGAGACCTGTGGGATTAAACTGAGGAAAATGGAAATCTTGTACTTTTCATTCTTTGACTAATAACAGATAACAAAGAAAAAAATAGAGAAGCGAGCCAGTTTGAAATTTATTGTTTTTAACCCAGAGCAGCAGTGCCAAGAGCTGGAGACATTCCCTCTGTGTGCAACAGGAAGATTGCATTGAAAAACATAATCCAGCTGTGACTTCTCGGTAGTAGTTTGTGAAAAGAACCTTATTTCCCTGATTTTTTTTAACATTACAGTTTAGATATTAGGTTTTTGAACTCAATAAGAGAGGAGAATCTGTGTTTACAAAAATGACAACCTTTCAAAATATAAACAATAGATGGCAATCTGACTAACATAAAGAAAAATGGGGAATGACTCAGAAAAAAGAGTAACACCCTTTGCAATAAATATTACTGTTACTTACGCTTTTTCCAAACATGCATCTCTTGACATATTGTGTGCCAACAGGTTTGTTGCCAAACTGAAAACTTCATCTGTCCACTCCTAAAGAGAGATAAATTAAATTTGACCTTGCTCAAATGAAGAGTTGTTTAGATCTTTACTTTCATGACTTCAAATAATTTCAACGTGAATATTATTGGAAAAAAAACTGATTAATGAAAGCCTGAACCTTCTCTTTCCCAATAGAACTCCATTTCTAGATTACTAGCCTGTCTTTTTCATTCTGCATGAAACACAGCTTGCTATGAATAGGATTTTCTTTTTATAAAAAAAAAAAAAAAAGTAACAAACACCTGTGCATTTCAAAAGAAAGATTAAATATGATTATTCAGGGCCTAATTCAAAGCCCACAGAAGTCAATGGGAGTAAATTCATTGACGTCAGTAGGCTGAGGCTCAGAGTCACAAAAAAATTTATGATAGTGTGACTGTGTGAATATTCACTATTTTAGGGTGGGGGTGTTACAAAGGCTTAAAAAATATTAAATGGAGCAGAGAAAGAGAAAATAAATAGGGTTTTCTTATTTACTGTCTCTCACCATGCTAGAACTAGGGTACATACAATTAAACTATTGAGTAATAGTTTTAAAACTAAAAAAAGGGAAGTCTTTTTCACAGAGTAATTAATTTGCAGAACTTATTGCCACAAGAAGTTATGGAAGTTAGCATAACCCAATTCAAAGGAGGACTGGATCATTTCTTAGAGGAAAATCCATCTGCAGGTATTGATTATGGTAGATAGTGATGTAGCCTCTGAATCAAAACTTCCTAAACCTCTGAATGCTGGAATTTGCAATGGGAGAGAAGCAAGCTTGGAAACTGTTGATGCCCTTGTCATTCTCTCCCTCAGTGTGGATACTTGGCTTGATGGACCTATGGTCTGACCCAGTAAACAGCAGTTTTTATGTTCCTATTTTTTATGAGACCCTAAGGACTGAAATACGCAGAAGTGACCAGCATGGGCTTGCTATGACTTGAAACTAATGAGCCAAGGCTTCTAGCTTGGGGCTGGAATGGACTCAGTTCCTCTCTGGAGTGGCACCAAGGAAAACCTGCAACCTTGCTAGTGGGTAACACTGCTCTTATCTAAATTTATGTGTCCTAAAGCATGAGTGTGGTTTTTTTTGGAAGATCTCAATATAATATCGCTGATAGATCAATTCCTGTACAGGGAAATAACCCAAGCAGGCAACCTTTCCTTTATTGGATGTGATCAATATGCCTTCATCACCCAGCTCTGAGTTTAGGTTAGATCAGAAAGCCATGCAAAAATGTGCAGTATATCAGAGTGCACTGTTCTCAACTCTCAAAGCGCACATTTGCAATTCTCAAAGTCAGAGGGGAAGGAATCATGGAAAGAGTTATTAAATTTGTCTCAAACAGTCCTTCTTGATGAGGTGTGAGGTGGCAGTCCCACCTCCTGGCTCTTCCAGGTACTGGAGAAATTTTTCTCAGAGACCCCAAGCACCTTGCCTACAAGGAAACCCTTCAAATCCAGGGGCAGTAGGTACAAATTCCTTATGCAGTGCCCCAAGATTACATGCACAAGAGAACATGACAGTAGGGAACTGCAGTAGCTCAATTATTTGACTATCCGGGGGGAAAAAGGAACAAGTTCAGCTAATGGAGCTTTTCCATTAGACCACTTTATTGCAATTAATTGATGTTGGCAGATAGGGCTACAATTTGGATAATCAAAATTTAGGCACATGCATTTGGATTGTGTAATCTCAGTCACACGAGTAATCGCTCAGTCTAGAATGCCACATGCCCTCTTTGCTCCTGGAGATTCTACCTGCTGCTTGCTACTAGGGCTGTGCAAAGCTTTGGTTGCTGATTCAATTTGGCTGAGATTCGGTCCAATTCAGAGGCCAAACCTCCGAATCCAAATTGAATTAGGAGACCCATTAATCTCTTCAAATTGAATCAGAAGCCTCCATTTTGATTCAGAGAGATTCAATGATTTGGACACAGACCCAGTTTTAGATGTTTTTTCTACGTACCTCAAGGTACCAGGCGGCTGGTGTATGCTGAGATGGCAGGGCAGATGGAGCGTCCCATGGGAGTGCAGAGCGGTCTCCAGTGTGCTCGGCAGTGGACCTGGAAGTAGACTAGAAGCACTTCCGGTCCACTTCTGCGTCTGCTACGGAGTGCATGGGGGGCCCCCCACCCCCTGGATAGGGGACTGGTGCCTCCTGGTTCTGGGGGGGCACCTAGGGTCCCCCTAAGGCTGTTTTTTCCAACAGAAAAACTTACTTAAAAAAAAACAAAAAAAAAAGTACTTCCGGTCTGCTTCCAGGTCTGCTGCTGAGCACACAGGGGCACCCACCCCAGGCTCTTGTGGGACACTCCATGAACCCCACCATCTCAGCATTCACGAGCCATGCCTGGTATCTCAAGGTATGTAGAAAAAACATCTAAAGCTGTGTCTATGGCCAAATCACTGATTCTCCGAATCAAAATCGAATCTTCAGATTGGCCAAATCAAATCAGGACAGTAATCCAAATCAACTAATTGAATCACTGTCCCCTGAATCCAGCCAAATCCTAATCCAAATTGAATATGGCCTGCTTTGCACAACCCTACTTGCTACCATTGACTGGCATTGTCAGAAGTGTAACTGAGGTTTGGGGGGAGGAGGAAGAGGGCACCAGCCCCAGGAGCTGATTTTGTGGGGGTTAAGTGGGGGGAGAGGGTGGGGTAGGAGACAAAAACAGCAGCTGCCACTTCTGCCTATCCAGTAATACAAGTAGTGGTGGCTCAGGCACTGCCCTCTCCTGCCCAGGGCACAAAACTGTCAACTGTGCCCCTCATACTGTCTCATCCTCTGCTCTCCTACAACACCTCAGTCCTTACTTACAAGCTTTCACTAAAAGTTTTTCCAACAGAGTGTGTTTTACTTAAAAAACAAACAAACAAAGCAGCTTTTTAAACAAGTGTTTTTGTAGCTTTTGCACTGCTTTCTGATTTTTCATTGCAATCAAAAACTGCATTTTGCTTCAGTTCAAATGGAAACTCCCCCCATCTCCCAACTTGGCTGCTTTCTTCCTCTTTTATCTTTCTTTATCTCCTCCCCTATGGAAAAAATATGAGAAAAGAAAATTCTGTTTCAGCCAAAAAACCTAAAAATTACATGACAGTATTTTGAAAATGTTCATTCCGACTTTCACTGGGGCTTCATGCCTAAAGTGTTTTTGAAAATGTGACTTTTAGTACAAACAGAACAATTTACCTCAGTGCAAAAGTTGGGGGGAGGTATCTGGACTATAAATCAGCTACTCTCGCCTCATAAAGACATTCAGTTTCTTCTGAGAGAGAGACTGCCGCGATCTGTCACCAGGCAGACTAAAGAAGCCAGTTGAAATGTGTGCACAGGGACCCCCACTGGCTGCACAGTGTCAGCTGCTCCACACTTCAGGGCCTCAGCACTCGAATGTCTGTACATGCAGCTCTGAATAAATTTCTCTACCCAGAGAGCAAACCTGGGAGAATTCTCCCAGATTATTTCAATGTGTGTATGCAGCCTCTGTAGTAACTGCCCAGACGGACACTCTTCTGTTTTGGTAAGAGAAAGCTAACCTATAGTAACTTTCACTGAGCAGTCACAGGGACAATTACCAGAGCAGCTGATATATATTAAAATTCCAACCCTTTTGATCCACAGTACTGTAAATTGTTTGTATGTCCAACTTGGCAAGCCATTCTGGTGGTTATGAAATTTTTTTCTCAATAAAACCTTTGTTTGCAAAAGTGACTAGCAATGTCTAAGTGCTCAACTTGAGACATCTTAAAGAAGTTCTAGGTTTCAGGAAGTGCTATTCCTTAACTATATAATGCCACTCTGCAGTGATCCAAGGTAGGTACCTAGAAACTGAGCATCCAAAATCTCTTGAGAATTTAGGCTGCTGTATTACAGCCTGTTTCTCAAAGCACCAGTGCTCTCACTAACAAACTAGAGCTCATGTTATTCAGCAGTTCTGAAAATGCACCCTTGGATGACACTGGGGGCTATAGAGAATACACAAGTCTGCCAAGTCAAAACATTACTGAAGGTTATCTTTTTATTTAATAAGATACTAAGAAACTTCTGCATGCATATACATTACTTTTGAGACAGGGCTGACAGATCTTTTCATGATTCCTTTTCCTCTGCTTGGATACAAAGAATGGCAAAGTATTCTGATATTGCACATTTTTGCATGGCTTTCTGATCTAATCTAAATTCAGAGGTGTTTCAGTTTCCTAGAACCATTCAGCTCACTATAGTTTCATAGTTAATAGGGTCAGAAGGGACCTGAACAGATCATCAAGTCGGACCCCCTGCCATGGGCAGGAAAGAATGCTGGGGTCAAACGACCCCAGCAAGGTGTCTATCTATCCTCCTTTTGAAGACCCCCAGGGTAGGAGCAAGTACCACTTCCCTTGGAAGTTGGTTCCAGATCCTAGCTGCCCTGACTGTGAAGTAGTGCCTCCTAATATCTAGCCTGAGTCTACTCTCCATCAACTTATGGTCGTTACTCCCAGTAGTGCTCAGGGGAACAGGAACTCTCCCAATGCCTGCTGGTCCCCCTGGGCAAGTTTGTAGATGGCCACCAGATCCCCTCTCAGCCTTCTCTTGTGGAAGCTGAACAGGTTTATATCCAATAGCCTCCGCTTGTAGGGCCTGCCTTGCCCTCTGACCATGCGAGTGGCCCTCTTCTGGACCCTCTTGATGCTATCCACATCCCTCCTGAAGTGCGACGCCCAGAACTGGACGCAGTACTCCAGCTGCGGCCTGACCAGTGTCGCATAGAGGGGGAGGATCACCTTCTCAGACCTGCTCAAGATGCATCTGTGGATGCGTGACAAGGTGTGGTTAGCCTGTCTATAATGACTCCAAGATCCTTTTCTGCCTCCGTGCTGACAAGAAGGGAGTTCCCCAGCCTGTAGGTATGGTGCCGGTTGTTCCTCCTCAGGTTCACCACTTTCCACTTGTTGGTGTTGAATCCCATCCTGTTCTCATCTGACCACCCTTGTAACCTGTCTAGGTCCAATTGCAGCCT